CTGGTTCAACAGAATTTCCGCATAAAAACATCCAATAATGCAACTTTTTCCAAAGAGGACAACTCCAACGTAATTGCATAGTTCCGTTTATAGTCGTATTTGTAATGTTTTCTCGGTATTTTAGGGACAAAGACTACGGGTATTTGAGGTGCCGACGGCTGTACCTGGTATGGGTTGTACGGGAAATAACCAGTATATCTCTGTTCGAAGAAGAGTTCGTCCAACTTCACCGTCACGTAAGGAGTTGACCATTACTTAATAGTCTGATCTATTATTCCTTGTCTAGTTTTTATTTAATGGAAATTAAATGTAGACATTTTACATAGTAGTGCTATTTTCAAAATGAATAGCATTTCATCCTTTCTTAATTGTTTTGTTTGTGATACGTGGTTCTCTGGAACTTTTGAAGAATTATCTTTTCACTCTGTAGGATATATCATGAAGTCTACCTGCACAACAGCAGATATTTCCAGTAATACTTGAACTACCTGACAATTTCATAATTGTCATTTCAACATTTTTATTATTTGTATTCCTCCCTGAAATATAATTACAAATATATACAATATGCTGTTGTGGTCTTTGCTCAATACCGAACAATCTCCAAGGATGTTCTTTTTTTCTATATTTGAATACGGAACGTGTGTTTTTGGGTTTCTTTGTATCAAGTATTTGATTAGAGTAAACGTATATCGTACCTACATATAGAATTAAATATCACCAAATAGCACTGTATTAGAAAATCACGAAATTCAAACCCCATGAAAATATCTTATTTAACAGAATAGATTGTTTACAAAGGTCATGGCTACAAGTATTTCGGTTTTCTGCTTTAAAACTATTTTTGATAAAAGCATTAAAAAAATTCTACATTTTCCTTTTACACTAATTACAAAGGAAGTGTACATTTCGGAGCCTTTTGTATTCCATCAACCGGTTGGTATGACATCAAGTTGGACATTTGATGCATTTGGTACTATGCCATAAATCATAAAGAACCATATTTCCATCATGCGCGTGAAACTTTATTGGAGACAAACTTCGGTAGACCTGACATTTAAGTGTTTTGGAATGACAAATAAAAATATGCCATTAGTAAAAATATGACTGCAGGAAGGAAAACATTAAAACGGTTACTTCTATTATATAATTATCTGGCCCTTTACTACTAAAAACTCATAATTGGTCTCTGTGTTTGCTGGCATGGAATAGACTGATGGGCAATTACGTGTTTGGGCAATATTTTTCAAGAATTTTCCCATTTCAGTATCGCACGCCAAGTGCCTACGCGTTTGTAAAATATTGCCTCGTTTATGGAAAAAGCATTTGAATACTTTTGAAGTGTCTCAAGAGTTGTATATGTTTGTATATATAATACTGCCATCGGTTCCTGTTTTAGTGTTACGAAGATAATGTTCCCGATTCGCTAGAGATATCATTTTATGTAACAACACCACGAAAACAGGTAGGTGTAAGCTTATCGTTATCATTGGGGTGATTAAGGACGTTCTGTTGTCATAATTCTATGTGGAGTAAAAGTCATATATACCACCAAGTCATCAAACAAAGGCATAATTCGGCATGTAAGGATGAGTCGTTCTGAAGTTAAAGGTAAATAAGCCAGGTGCGCTATGATAATATATAAACTATTAAGGATTAAATTTAAAAGTCATTTTAGTCAATTGTCCAGGATTAAAAAGAATTTATCAAAGAAATCTCATTCCTGAAACAAAGAAATTTAAAAAATGAGATATTACAATAGATTATATTACAGTCTTTAAAAGAAAAGGTAATTTTGGTTATTTGATTAACAGACAGTGGCTGGTGAGAGTTTCGCATACGGTAGAACAACATTTGGTAGACCTGTGTGGCAGAAAGTACTGGCTAGGTACTTCAAACGACACTCAAGGTTGGTATCGTCAAACATTGTACATGGTATATTTTTAGGGGAACTCCAAGATGACTACGAGGTTTAGTTACTAACGGGTGCTTTACATGAATCTTTTAACTGTGTTGTTAAATGATGTGCAAAAGAGACAAAGTTGTCTTTTGTTTATCTTGACTATTGATTAAAAACATGTTCACGCTCGGTTGATTACGAAGAAAGCCGAGTGGGTCACATGGCTTGTCACGTGACGAAGTCATTTACTTCCGTCGCAAAGAAAAAATGGATTACAAGTTAAACAAACGCACATGTCTTATGTATGACACTTGCTTTTGCGCCTTTCTGCTAATTTTTGTTTGCAGTAAATGATTCTATAGTGTTATAATATATAATTTTTAACAATCAATCTTAGTAATTCGTTTTATTTTGGCTTTGTCGTGTGAGAATTATCTATGTCAATCGCGGGCGCTAAACTAGTGGTTCCCCAAGAGGGTAATTACAATCGGAAAAGAAAAAAACTCATTGTGCAGAAATGCACAGGAATTGAAACGTTGTCTGTACTCATTAATAGATATTATACTGTTTATCATGAAGGCTATGCTTATCATAACGGTTGTTATTCTTACAGTAACACCAGTGCTGTCATATTTTCACACATAGAATGAATACTTCCAATTGGGCCCCACCTTGCAGTCAACAACAAACACACGGTGTCGATACTAAATTCAAGCGAATAAAACAGCTAATGTCATTCAACATTTATCAGATAACACTTTTAGTAGTGTTGTTCATAACATATTCACGCGTCAAACACTGAATATTGGAGTATAATCAATGAAAGGCGGATACGTTATAATTAGAGGCGCTAACGTTAAGTTAACCAGTCAGACAGCAGCTACGCAAATTCCGAATCCGTATTCAGTCCAAGATAATCCTTCATCTTTCGCTATCTATGGATCTCCTGTCTAATATAAATTCTTGCCTGTCCTTCTTTTTTTGTCTGACTCCTTCTTCTTACGCTTTCTGGCACTTTCTGCAAGGTATCTTTTAGGTCCTCGTCGCTTTTCGTATTTCCGTCCGCCTTATTGCTTCTTTCTAGGCTTATACTCGTAATGTATGAATTAGATCAAGACCGCATTCTTTACATTCTTTACATTCTTTACATTCTTTTAGATATCAATAAAAATGGTTGCAGTTACTTTTAATTTTAGTAATTAACAGCAAGTCTTAGTATTGTAACATACTATTTGAAAATAGAACGTTTTATATCGTTTTCTTGTAGTGTTTTTTAACATCAAAGTCGCTTTAAGGAATCAATTTACAACAGGAAGTGCTTCTTAATATTGATGTTAGATCGATGTTTACCTTGGGAAACACAGTAACTGTCCTTCTTGTGGTTTCTGCACAAGTACAACTGTGTGCGTTTAAGCATTAGGTTAGCATTGAAAGTATTCTTCAACGGGAAAATTGGTGAACACAATTGGAACAGTCGTTTGGTTAATAGATAGGTGACAGTCCACTGTGTTTCGTAATTTCTTGGATAAAGATCACCACTTGTCTCGGAGTGGTCCCAATAAAAACCCAGGGGGCACTCTAACACCACAGAACAGACTCTATAAACTGTATATGATGCTGTACAAAGAGACACTTGCGTCTACACACTGGGAGGGGAGAAATATATCTCCCTGTCGTTGTCGTGTTTCCAATAAACGCCTTCAGCAAAAACTAACTGTGGACAGTGTTTTGTTTGCTTGACTCTTTATGTGTAACTGTCTCTACACGTAGTTAAGCGATGATACACCAATATTCAACTTTACTATTTATATATTATCATTATCGTTTTTTGTAATTTATTTTACACCATGTTAATGATTTTGTTCTTTAATGAATACCAATGTTTTTATCTTTATGTTAATATACACATTTATCTAGTGCTCTTCTCTTTGTCTTATTTCTATAGAACAAGATTTGGAATCTTTGTGTGTGGACCTCCTGGAATGATAAAGGATATACGACGAGAAACAAGCAATGTGTCAAATAATACCAACCGATTATACCTGCACCATGAAAGTTTTTGATTTCAACTGTTTAAACAACATTGTATTTAAATGTATCTTAAGTAGATTTGATAAGTCAATAAATTACCTTTCATTTGATTTCAGATACAGGATTGTTAATTAACTTTTTTATTATCTGATACTTAGAAATGATTGAGACAAAATATCATCATCCTTTTAACGTTACCACAGATATTTTCATTTAATCAATTAACAGAAAATGATACATATACTAGCTCCGGTAGAAATCTTTGTCGAAAAATTGTCAACAAAATATCGGGGATTGCGATCTAACCGAGGACCTCAAAACAAATCAGAATTGTCTAGGAAATAAGTATTTCCAACCAATGTGTGAAAATTTAGAATATGAACAGTTTTGCTGGTGTCGATTTAGTGTAAAGTTGACCATTTATTTCGGTTGTAAACATTTTTGGTACGAATACCTGTTTGATACCATTTGTGAAGTTGTTTCAACGCACAGGAATTTTGACTTGTTCAATACTCTGAACATATTCAAACTACAAGCGTATTTTATTGTAGAGAAAACTGATTTTACATGTATATTACCGTAGAACGGAGTAAATGTGAAAGCATGGCGCGATAAAATGATACTTTGTCCTGCTGACAACACACCCAATGGCGCTATGTTTCTGTGTAAGGATCTACTTCAAAGAAGAACACAACACATGTATATCATAAATTTGGTGATAAAATTTTGAGATTTTGAATTTCGTTTTGCCTTTTGTGATCGATGGAGTCAAGTGTGTGAAGAATAAAGTACTGCGAATAGAACATGGTTTGTTTAAATACACCAGTGGGGATTCGTAACAGAAATAGGTTTTTGGTGTAGACACTTTCATCCTAAGCTTAGGTAGGTCAGTAGGGAGACCGTTGCTAGGGAGCATTAGACATGAAACATTTTATCAAAAGACATTTTGATATTAAATAACGATTTACATGAGTTATTTTTCCGGAAGTATTACATATAACACTTTCTACAACTTTTGTTTCTCATATGTACTTCCGGTTCGGTAATACACGAAAACGCCAGGTTTTGTTTAGTTATTACCATTTTATTCCAAAGATTTTTTGACAGGTATTTTTTCTCACTAAATCATATATAAAATGTACCACCTGCATTGCCGGGGAAGAGACAAAGTTTTAAACAGAAGTAGATCCAGACTCGTGTAGAAAATTCCATCAACTGAACTTGTTCGAAGCTGCTATTTTGACAAATCAATATCGTATTACACCACTGTGGTTTCTTTAATTATTACTATACGAGTGTGAGTTAACACTAGATATTGTAAATGAATTCTCTATCGAGTATTAAAATACGAGGTTCCTGAAATAGTTGGCACGTCAACACATTCAATGATAAGAAGACATTAAGAAAACAATAACAAAATACTATCGTCAATCTGAAAATCCCAAACCTGTCCAATTTCCTAAAACCGTTCACTCCTTAACCTTACTTCAATCACGATTCGCTCGGTTAATATTTGTTGTTATTCCTTTAATTCTGTTAATTTGTAGAAAGAACACTAAAAATAGAACCACGTGGTATGAATCAACATGAGTGTTATATTGGAAGGTATTACGTTAAGAAACTAAAATATTTCAAGGAGTATTGGATTAGCGTTAATATCAGAACGAGCATGGCTACAACACCCAACATTGCCCTTATGTGATCTGGTGAATAATTTCAGCCACCAGTATCTTTAATCAAATGTAACATAAACGCAACAACATAAAATGATAAGCAATTTTCATATTATATTTCGAACTATTCACAAAAACACCACGATACAAATGTTTTTGTAACAGTATATACAATAATTCTATCTTAATATTACATCGTTAATATACACCATAATACAAAACATTCAAAAGAATTATAAAACGGGAAAGATATCAAAAGTAATACATGATATATCAACAATTTACCCGATAAAACCAACCAATGTCTGACGCACGGCTTTTTATATTCTTTATAAAGGGTGTCCCATGATTTCTATATAATGTCTGACGCACAGCTTTTTATATTCTTTATAAAGGGTGTCCCATGATTTCTATATAATGTCTGACGCACAGCTTTTTATATTCTTTATAAAGGGTGTCCCATGATTTCTATATAATGTCTGACGCACAGCTTTTTATATTCTTTATAAAGTATTGTCCCATGATTTCTGTATAATGTCTGACGCACATCTTTTTATATTCTTTATAAAGTATTGTCCCATGATTTCTGTAAAACAAAGCCAGACAACATTGTGTGATTGTGTCATCATGTGTGCTTTGTAATGTGATTACCGAATCATCGAAGCACTGTTATCTACAACAGACCATCGGTACAAACGCAAACATCTGCCACATACCATCGATAACAACTTCTGATATCTACCAGAAACCCTCAGTTACGGTCGCTGATGTCTGTCACATACCATCGATAACAACTTCTGATATCTACCAGAAACCCTCAGTTACGGTCGCTGACATCTGCCACAGACCATCGATAACAACTTTTGATATCTACCAGAAACCCTCAGTTACGGTCGCTGACATCTGCCACAGACCATCGATAACAACTTCTGATATCTACCAGAAACCTTCAGTTACGGTTGCTGATATCTGCCATTGACAATCGATAACAACTTCTGATATCTACCAGAAATCTTCAGTTACGGTCGCTGATGTCTGTCACATACCATCAATAACAACTTCTGATATCTACCAGAAACCTTCAGTTATGGTCGCTGATATCTCTCACAGACCACTGATAGCAACTACTGAAATCTACAGACCATCAGAAATACCTGTCACAGATGATCTCTAGAATTTGTCACAAACCATCAGAAACAACCGTTGACATCTACCACAGACCATCACAACCAACTGCTTACTTCAACCATAAACCATCAGAAACCACCGCCGACGCCGATTTCTATAATGAAAAACCCATTATAAACAACAGCGAATATCTATCAAAAACCATCAGAAACAAAAACCGTTAGAAATTACTGCTGACATCTAAGTACCACACCCATCAACCATTAGTAACAAAGGTTGATTCAGGTATTTACCACATATCAATAGAAACAACAGCTGATATCAGCCACAGACATTGACTTGTTATTTGTCCACACCATTGCATCGCATGACCACTGACTTTTCACGCTAAATTACCTCGGATCGTGAAATATTATCTCAGTATGCTTCCCCAAACGATTTATTGCGTTTTCCACAAGTGATCGGTCGAAGATGTCCATTCCATAAAAATCCATCTAATACCAGAGGGAATATTGTTTGAATATTGCATTTTGTTCCTTTTGTGTCTGTCCAGACGAATTCGATTGTTGTAAGCACACTATCTTAAGATATAAATGCATATTCATGCATGTTAATAGCTTTCTGTTTCTATAAAGAACGCTGATATTTCCCGTTCCCAATATGTAAATGAATATCAGATCCCCTAATATCTTTCGTTCTTTTGTAAGTGGCGCCGGATTTCATACATGGTACATGCGTCTTCAAGTCCATGGTTTTTTCTTTCCATCTTAAGCGAGAAGTACAAATGTGTACAGAAGGAATGTCAATATAAAGAGGAAGAAGAAGATCCGGTCAAGGACCAGTGCCACCTGGTGCCATTCGTTTCTGATCTCGTGCCTAGCTTCCAGGACGGTACTTCGTATAGTAAGCGTATGAAGATGACGTAATATTTCCTCTACATCACGCTCCATCTTTGACTGCGTAGTGTTTTCCTGTCGAACAATGCCGTCCATGGTCCGGTCGAGTCCGCGCATTGATACAGTCTCTAGTTCATCTAGTGGATAGTAAGTGTCATCTCCCAAACATACCACCCTCTTCAGTCCGCGCAGGAAAAGCTGTCGATAGACAAAACAGGACGTTTTCTTGTTATACGCAAAGTTTTTGACATAACCTAATTGGTTAGATATTGCTTCAACATGTATGGATTAAAATGAATTTAGCGTATCGTCAAAAAGCTTTCAGTTTAATGATGTTGAAATATTTAATGAGAAGTAATTTGCACAGGTTTAGCATAACTTTCCTTCCCATTAATGCATTAATGAGACTTGTATCTGAATATTAAAACAACAGATGATAGCTAACTTAGTGTATCTCATCACTCTTTAAAGTCTCTAGCCACTGGAAAACGTAGCATCAATATAACATACTCAATTAAAAACAAACGCCCTACCATTAAATATACCGATGCATTATCATTTAAGTTAAATATCTTACGTTCTTGTAAAAACCGAGGATTCCCATTGTACATTTTTAATTCTTCCTATCATACCTGTCTGAGATAGCTGGGAACCTTTTTCTTCCTCGGTCCTCGGGACTGTATATTAATTATAAATATTGACGTCAGCAGAGAGAGTGTGATCCAGATGATCGTCACAATGTAGTAGCTAGCTGTGGATATAAAAAAGACACAACGATTAATGTAAATTACATATATGATTGTCACAATATAGTAGTTAGCAGTGTATACAGCAGAAACTATCGTCACAATGTAGTAGTTAGCAGTGTATACAGCAGAAATGATCGTCACAATGTAGTAGTTAACAGTGTATACAGCAGAAACTATCGTCACAATGTAGTAGTTAGCGGTGTATACGTCAGAAATGATCGTCACAATGTAGTAGTTAGCAGTGTATACAGCAGAAATGATCGTCACAATGTAGTAGTTAGCGGTGTATACGTCAGAAATGATCGTCACAATGTAGTAGCTAGCGGTGTATACGTCAGAAATTATCGTCACAATGTAGTAGTTAGCGGCGTAAACAGCAGAAATGATCGTCACAATGTAGTAGTTAGCAGTGTATACAGCAGAAACTATCGTCACAATGTAGTAGTTAGCAGTGTATACAGCAGAAATGATCGTCACAATGTAGTAGCTAGCTGTGGATATAAAATAGACACAACGATTAATGTAAACTACAGAAATATACAGCAGAAATGATCGTCACAATGTAGTAGTTAGCAGTATCTATAGCAGAAATGATCGTCACAATGTAGTAGTTAGTAGCGTAAACAGCAGAAATGATCGTCACAATGTAGTAGTTAGCGGTGTAAAAAGGCAAAAATGATCGCCACAATGTAGTAGTTAGCAGTATCTACAGCAGAAATGATCGTCACAATGTAGTAGTTAGCGGTGTATACGGCAGAAATGATCGTCACAATGTAGTAGTTAGCGGTGTATACAGCAGAAATGATCGTCACAATGTAGTAGTTAGCGGTGTATACGGCAGAAATGATCGTCATAATGTAGTAGTTAGCGGTGTATACGGCAGAAATGATCGTCATAATGTAGTAGTTAGCAGTATCTATAGCAGAAATGATCGTCACAATGTAGTAGTTAGCGGTGTATACGGCAGAAATGATCGTCATAATGTAGTAGTTAGCGGTGTATACAGCAGAAATGATCGTCATAATGTAGTAGTTAGCAGTATCTATAGCAGAAATGATCGTCACAATGTAGTAGTTAGCGGTGTATACGGCAGAAATGATCGTCATAATGTAGTAGTTAGCAGTATCTATAGCAGAAATGATCGTCACAATGTAGTAGTTAGCGGTGTATACGGCAGAAATGATCGTCACAATGTAGTAGTTAGCAGTGTACAAAAGAAATTAATACAACAAGTTCAATATTGGCTGGTTTTACAGAAAAGACAAATGAATTGTTGGACAAACAATAATTCTCAGTGAATACAGCTATTAGGTAGATATGTAAGATAGACATAAAACTAATTTGACGAAATCTTAAGATAAGAGCAATAATTGTATATATAAATTAGAACTGAGTAAACGATTATTATGTAATTGTAGATGTAAGGTGCATGTTATGCACGTGCAATATATCCTTATATGGCATTTTCATTTTCTTTTATTATTTTTCCTTGTCTAAATAAAAAAACCAAAGTTAACAATTGTATACTGGAAAGTGTTTGGTGTCAGATAGACGGTCCTGTATCTTGCGATATGACACAGAGTCATAATGTTCCATTGATTCAGAGAGATCGTTCGACACATAAAAAAAACTACGTTACATCAACATCCTGTTCCGAATTTTTACAAAATCGGTTTTCCTTGTTTTATTAGCCCATCCGAGCCCAATATATTGACATATCATACATGTATTTCTTTACTACGCGACTATATAAGGTGCTTTTAACGTTGTCATCTCAAAGGAATGATTATTGCTAAAATTTCTCCGAGTGTATGCTTTGTATTTTATATGGAAGTGTTGAACTATACTCTTTTTTCACTCAAGAAAAGTAATGCTTCGTTCTGTGCCGCATCAGCCTACTAACATTTGGGGTTAACGAGGAAGATTGACGCCTAAATATGGATATTGAAATTTTGATTATGGAAAGTAAACAAAAAATATATATAGAACGTTGTGAGATATCATTACCTGAGTGTAAATATGTTTCTATAAAAGAGGATCATAAAACAGTATGAACCTTGATAATGACAGTACTTCAGTTGTCATATATGGAGGTAATAGCTCTGAAGGGAATTGTCGTAGTAATTTTACAAATTCATTTCACAACATTTGTATTCATAACTTTTTCTTTAAGTTTTCAGCGCAGTACATTCTCATCACATGTATATTTCATACATTGTACGAAGGGAATCAAGATTTAAATTCAACTCTATTGATATTACGGGCAAGGTTTTTATGAACACGATTTTATAATGGAATAAATGGTATGAAGATATAATTCTACAGATCGCCATGTTAAGAAGTACAAAGCATTATGTCCACGTAGTGAATTTTCACCATTTATGACTGTTTTGATGACCAAACAGACTAGTGCTTGTGTGTTTTGTTCCTTTGCTTTCAAATTGGTACTTCTAAATCGTCTCTAAAATTAACAAAACAATCATGTTGTTAAGTGGAATGTACACTGAAATATATCGTTATACATTTATCTAAGTCCTAAACCGGCGACATAAATGATAAAAGATTATCATTTTATTTTTTTCAGTCCCCTCATTGGTTTAAACACTGTAGGCCCTTAGCATCACTGACGAGTCCTAGAAGGACGAAATAATTGCATGATGCAGTATAATTGATTATTTGGCTCTACTGTATCTAATGAGCATTCAAAAGGTGATATTCACATGTGCATCTTTTGTACAATCTTAATAACACTATCCATGGTTATGTTCCGGTATGTTGCGTAGTATAATGCTGCTCAGTTATCAAAGAATTCATAGTCACTTGTTGTCTACATTGTCGTAAATCATCGATAGGTTTACCAAGGCTTTACTACTCTCGATCAATACATAAACCCGCATTAGTGTCATAGAATTGGCAAATTTGTAGTAACCATATTTGACGTCCTGCTACATCAGATTATTGTCATCCTCGACTTAATCCACAAAAAAGCATGTCTTGTTTACAGGTTCTTGTGCATAATCTAATGTGTCGGTAAGAGAGGTGCTTGTCATGCTTGTTTAGAGAAATTATGACGTGGCAAAAAGGATATTAGTTTATCGTTTTTGGTAAAGTTAGGAAATATCACATATACAATGTGATAGTAAACAAATTATTTGTATGTGCATTAACTGAGACTGTTCATAAACAAGATTATATCAATATACATATACTCTCATACCATCTCTCCATTATATTATCACAGCAGTAGAAACACAAATAGAGAGTTATATATTTCATGGTAGTTCTGATCTTAAATATATTTTTTATATATTTAAACTTCATTTTCTTCAAATAGCCATTTTTTCAACATGTGAATATATTCTTATATATTTCAAACTTTCAGAAGAAATTCTATTTTTCTATATTTGATGATAATGTCAACACAAATGCAATATTTACGACTACAGAGAAAGTTAATGCATCATATTATATTAGTCAACAAAAGATTTCGTGCTGAAGTAACCTGATATTGAATGGTAAACCTCATATTTTGTAATAAAATGAAAGTCGTGCATTTTCTAAATCCTTAGATGGAACATGTCAGTCCTATGACATGACATTGGTTTACGGTCATAATTACTAAACATTTCTTTAAGATAAGAAACATGTTACCTGGGAATACTGGATGTATTTTGTCACACAGTTTTGGTTATAATGCTCTTCACACAGTCGGAGCTATCCCACACACCTTTTTGTGTTTTTATTCGATGTAATTTAATTTTCCACAAACTGGGGTCGATGATGTCTTTTTGATGATCTATTTTTAAGGGAACACTTCTCATTGTTCTATATGTACAACTATACTAATCACTGTACCAGACTGAAGAGTGTTGTTTAATGCCAAGGCGTTACCCATTTCAACACGTTGATTACATAGATAAAATAGAACTACGTAGCAGATGTGGTGTTAGTGCAATGCTTTGAAAGTAAGAATGAATTGTTTCCTCCTTTTTAATGGATATATTTCAAAGGATACTAACACACAGGCTGAGAAACGATGACTGCTGAACATTACCACGGGGTATATTTGTTATATTATCCGATGTTCGCAAACATCCAATGGTAACAAATACTCTCTACAGGCACGCAAACAAACTGGAGTGGAATTCGTGTGGAGATGGTGTGTGATTTGGGTAGGATTCGTGTGGGGGTGGTGTTAATGTGAGGGTAGGATTCGTGTGGGGGTGGTGTTAATGTGAAGGTAGGATTCGTGTGGAGATGGTGTGTGATTTGGGTAGGAATCGTGTGGGGGTGGTGTTAATGTGAGGGTAGGATTCGTGTGGGGGTGGTGTTAATGTGAAGGTAGGATTCGTGTGGAGATGGTGTGTGATTTGGGTAGGATTCGTGTGGAGATGGTGTGTGATTTGGGTAGGATTCGTGTAGGGGTGTCGTTAATGTGAAGGTAGGATTCGTGTGGGGGGTGGTGTTAATGTGAAGGTAGGATTCGTGTGGGGTGGTGTTAATGTGAAGGTAGGATTCGTGTGGGGTGGTGTTTGAATAGTTGGATTCGTGTTTGGTGGTGTTTGAGTGGGGAGAGGATTCGTGTTTGGTGGTGTTTGAGTGGGGATTGGATTCGTGTTTGGTTGTGTTTGAGTGGGAATAGGATTTGTGTTTGGTTGTGTTTGAGTGGGGATAGGATTCGTGTTTGGTGGTGTTTGAGTGGGGATAGGATTCGTGTTTGGTGGTGTTTGAGTGGGGATAGGATTCGTGTTTGGGTGTGTGTGTGAGTTGTTGAAGGATTCGTGTTTGGTGGTGTTTCAGTTGGGACGGGATTCGTGCTTGATGGTGTTTTAGTTTGGATGGGATTCGTGTTTGGTGGTTGTTGATTTGGGACGGAATTCGTGTTATGTGAGTGTATGGGATACATACAAGTCGTGAAGTTTGGATGTTGCTGCAGGCAGATTTTCAGTAAAAAATATAGAGTGTAACAGAAAACGGAGAGTTGACAAAATAGTCACAACAGAAGACACAACTAGACAGTGAAATATCAAAGTGAGGGTATCACTGATATAGGAGGTGGCAAGAATGAGATCTCGCTAGAAGGAATAGAAGATATAGAGTTTACATATTCAGTTAAAAAAATCAATGTGTCGTATAGATATTGGATGTAGAAAGTATATGATTCCTGGAGGATGACACATAGGAAAAGAACAGCCGGAAGAGTGTGCCATGTGGACAGTAGAGTCGGAAGGGGTGTGACATGTGGACACTAGAGAATGAAGATGTGTGTGACACGTAGAGTCAGTAGAGTTTGAAGGGTTGTGACATGTGGACAGTAGAGTCGGAATGGGTGTGACATGTGGACAGTAGAGTCGGAATGGGTGTGACATGTGGACACTAGTCTGAAGGAATGTGACATGTGGACACTAGAGATTGAAGGAAGTGTGGGACACGTAGAGTCAGTAGAGTTTGAAGGGTTGTGACATGTGGACAGTAGAGACTGAAGGAAGTGTGGGACACGTAGAGTCAGTAGAGTTTGAAGGGTTATGACATGTGGACAGTAGAGTCAGAATGGGTCTGACATGTAGACAGTAGAGTCGGAAGGGTGTGAGGCATGTAGAAACAGTAGAGAATAAACGTGTCCGGAAGAGAAATCAAAAATGGAAAGAAAGGTGATATGATAAGTACAGTGGGGGTGGGTTGGGAAGGGAGGGGGAGAATAATGCACATAAGGAGTGGTGAGAGATGGTGTTAAGGGACCAGAATGTGAAGGATCATAAGATCTGTTTGAATGTATAAGGATTTATTGGAAGGAAAGGGAGGTGAATGACACAATGTTGCACTTCCAACGTCTTTCCTACAGATAATTGACTTAAGGCGAGAATCCTGATATTTTCCTAGTCAGAAGATTGATCGGCAGTCTTCGGATCTATATATAGCCTTACGTGGCTCATCCAGACTAAATTCCCGGGGTTTCCGAGGAACACCTCTTGGCTATATGTCAATCCTATCATTCAATTTTTTGCCGTTTCGACGCTTTCTAAATGATGACTGTATCTCAGCCCAGCAATTTTTTTTTTTTTACTTTATTTAGAAAGCCCATCGCTATGTAAAGCAAGCTCTGTGGTAAAAGATATAAGGCTGATTCAACATGTCTGTATACTAATTATAATAATAACCCTATCCTCCTATACTTATAATGGAATTTCAAATTAAAGACATTTAGTATTTGCTAGTTTACATTATGCAAAATTTCAACATTTTCTACATAAATAAATTGCTTGGAGACATAGCAGTGCCATTATTATAGCACCATTTCTCGACAGCAGACTCGCCGTGGTGTTGTTGGATTTTAGTATGGTAAATAGCCTTAAGCTACACAGGATTAAGTAACTAAAATGTCAGAAAATCGGATTTGTGGAGCATGAAGTACAAAGAACATCGAAGAATCCACAGCAGTAAGAAATAAAATGACATCGGAGAAATCAATTGGTTTTCATTTATAAAGAGGGAGGGCGTGTAACCGTCTGATTCGACCTAAATGGGACCAACAATAAAAGAGAAAAACTATTTTCTATTGCGATCAATTCAGATTGATATTAGGGTAATGCTCATTAAGATTATCTATCATCAGAAAAATAGGTTGAATATGTGGCATGTGTTATTTTTGACAGATCGTCCCGAAACAATACATTCTAAAACATGGGGGTGTACACAGTGTACAGAATGTTCACATGTACCACCTTTAAGATAACTGAACCTAATTCTGTGTGGTCAGATATAACTTAAAATCTATCTTCGAAAATTGGTACAAGCCTGCGTTGATAACGAAAATCTGAAGCAAAACCAAATTGGACTAAAACTGTGTGTATTTGTGTTTTCGATATTGAATTTACGATTAGGGTGTCACTGATTCCAACATATGTGTCTATAACACAGACGGTAAGACATTATTCTCACGTTAGTCGAATTCATGGGGTCAAGTTCAATCTCAGTTACTGAAATCATGACTATTTTTATTATTCCCCAAATTTTTTAATACATTACTCTTATTAAAGTAATTCAAGCGGTGAGTGTCCTTTAATTTAGTTATTCACATTCATTGCAGCAATTATTGGCCTAAACCTGATTTAATTTCTTTGGTGATAGTGAATGCAGCCGATGAGTTACATTATAATGCTAATGACACAGAGTTCTACTTAATAGTGTTAGAGGCATGGTAGTATGTCATCTCATTGTTCTGTGTAACTTCAGGAATATAAAAGGTTACTTATTAAGGAGTATTTCGGCCATTAAATTAATATTTTGTTTTTCTTTCCTGTACATTTTCCAGATGTAATCGTACACACCACTTTCCGGAAGTACATGTTCTATATTTAGACATTTTGACTCCGAAAGAACGTTTTAAGATCGATAAACTGAAATAGGTCCTCTTAAAGAACTATCAGCACAAATGTATCTATAATGGGAATGTAAGAACGATTTAGATAAGAATATCTGAACGACTTACCAATAGTGGGAATGTTTGGATGTGATTCGGGCAGGAATTGCTGCAGCATCATCAACAGGACAAGGATACAGAGCAATAATACTGAACCTGAAACATAAAAACAAATTTAACCATTATTACACAAACCCGTCCAAGTAAACATTGATCTTTTTTTAACATAATTACATATATTTGTCATTTTAGTGCAAAAAATATATGTGCATGACATTTTTTCCGGGGAGACATCACGTATGGTCTATTTCCAGTATCATGATTTTCATACAAGATGTCGGCAACTCGTACACAAATTTATAACACAGAGTTTTAGAGACGCAGGCTCATGGTCGTCATAATAAACGCAATGTAAATATTCTATATTTGTGAAGCTAGACGTGTTCCATACTCGTTTTTCTGTTGGTGCCGTTGTTTTAACTTTTTTCATTTGAGATCATGTCATTACTTACTTGGATTGACCACGATTTACATGACGGGCGCCATCGATGAAGCAGAATACGCATACTCTTCCGAAACACACATGGTCTTATACATAATGTACTTGTCCAGTAGTCTCAGTGTAATGATTTCTTATTATTCTATTGTCATTGTTCAATCAAATTTTTGTTTGAATTAAGATTATGTTATCATGTCGGCATTTTCGTTTGTGACATTACAAACAATTTGAGTGTAACAGAAAAAAATTTCATTAGTCAATCGCAACTGAACTTTATCTATAACATGATGTTTCTCTAAGCAGTAAATTACGTTAATAAATTATATTGCAACATTGCAACGTTTCGGAAAATTTATGGTTATCTCTTTCACGATAAATAAGTGTACCAGACAAACCGTACACAAACAGTACTTAATGACGATTTTGAAACGCTTAACCAATATTCAATAATGTTGCCTGATTAAATCTCAGCACTCCAAATTAAACGTAAATAAGACTTAACAATTCTTTGAAATTTGGTGACGTAGAAACCGATGGTCAGTAATGACGCTGAATCACCAAAATGTTTATCAGCAAAGAATTTAAAGACATTTAATCAGACACATTGGTACATTTATCAAAATACAAAAACGCCTGACAAACGTTGCAGCATTTTGTATCTGATGATAAATATTTCTAGATTTTTGGTTTATACTAAAATTCTTGCGGTTTATGTATGAAAGATTTTGATGTATACTCAAAATTTTTGATCATCATTCAAGCTTTTCCGGTTTACATTCATAACGTGTTAATATACAGAACTGTGTAGCTTTAATGATTATAAACTGTGGTAATTTATCGTTTATTGTCTTGTATAAACAATGTAACACACCAGAAAATTTTGATGTAGCCATTTCTTTATGTACCAAACCACATGCTAACACCTCTTTAAAGGAAATATTCATATATATCATTTTGAAAGGTATTATTTAATCACGACATTCCGTTAGCTGAAATTCGCAAGAAATGAAGGACCTGAATGAGAATGAACCCACGATGTATTTTAATCTTTTTATCTTAAACTCTTTCCTTCGTCATTATTCCAGTCTGTTTCTTTGAACAGCTAAAAGCCTTTAAATGTCTATGTATTAAATCAAAATAGATAAAGTCTTTATAAGATTGGTCTAACCCATTGTACATATAGAAAATATATTAACTAATGTAGCAAATGTACGGTTGAAAATCGAGTTCGGTTACATCAACATTACAATAAATCGTAGAAATAGTAAGCTTAACGACACACGTGTACTCAAAGGAAGACATTTGTGTATAAGTAATGGATGAAAATAATTCTATAATGACATAATGTTTTCTTGGTGATTAATGTTTAGTGATTACAAACATATTACTTAAAGCATTAGTTCTACTCCAATATGACAAGTATAGAGCTTTGTAAGGCTGATACATTATTCTTATGTACAATTTTTTAAATCAGTAAAATATTTCTCTGAATTAAAAGTTTGGAATAGAAACATTTGTATTAATCAAGCTCTTTTACAAACCTATCTCGGAGCTAATTCAACAAAATTCAATCGCTGATGAAAAATCTAAAAATACACAATAAATGTAAAAACGATTGTCAGTTTATTCAATGTCGTTCTATAGAATTCTCGCTTATAGTTATAAACCATAGTCTTTATGATGTTATTGATGTTGCCTTGGAGTGGAGTTTTCGCCTCACATACCTCAACCGATAGGGATAGATTACTGACGATACAAGGGAAGTATTTCATCATATGTCTATACCTAAATGATTCGTTAACAGAGACAAAGTTACAAGAGTTACACAGTATCAAGACTGTAATATAACAAAGGTAACATGAATCAGGAGAATAAGTGATGTCGGTAAATATACTTTTAATTGGAGGTATACCTCCTGTTTCTCTGATCACTTCCTGAAAGTATTTTATAATTAACATGAAATGTTTGTCCAAAAGAAATTTCCGTTATAGACAGAAGTTAGTATTTTAAACGTTTGAAATTTGTCATAAATGTAAGTTTCTATCTTAAGTTTTCACTTTCCGAAATTCTTCAGACATGCAAATTGTTCATCTTGTGTTCCGTGCACTCAATAGGTCCTAAGTGGAGAAAATTAGGTAATTACTTTATTTGCTTGTCTCTATTCTGAAGGTTTTATATGTGCTTCGTTCTTGATTGAGAGCCTGTTCCAGCTGCACTGTCATCGATAACTTTCACGCTTGCTAATTCAAAACTTAAAATTGCACACATTCTGCCTGGTATTTTCCAATCTAGTCACACATAAAGTGCATGCGCCTTATGCAATGTGACCCGTATTTGAGTACCTTGTCGGCAAATGCCAGAAAAAGGATGATCACCAAAATTAAAGTTTCTGTGACGGAAATTGAAGGAAGACTGTAACAGCCTCCTTTCTTTTTCTTTTCTATGTTTGTTTCTTTAGTCTTTTAACGTTAAAACTATTACGTCATTTGATTAAACTGCCATTTAACCGTTAAAACAATCCCGCACAATTTACAACGGCAACGCTATTCCTGCTATCAATACTGTTATGATCAGCACCCTCGGACAGAAGTTCGACTATGAAAACGAGGAGTGTTAAAGAACTCCCCACGGGAAATCCTTCATTCAGATTATAATGGCTTGTACCAAGATTAAGTAATCTAGGAAAGGATGAAACTTATTAAACATCAGCTTTTCGTTAATCACCAAAAAAGCGACTTTCAATAATACTTTTCCAATCTTAATGAACATTATTTCATTCAGGGATACTTAAGTATATATATATATTAGCAATATGCGTGCACTGCTTACTGTTTTCCAACTGTTACTACACAGAATGTTAGGTAGTATTGGCATTTAATATTTTAGACATTAATCTTAATTGAATTTGATACAATGAATAGTAATCACATTCACCATAGATAAAGGAGTGTTATTCATTGACTGTCTGTAGTTTACATTCGATAAAGTTTCGTGTGTCAAGTAATTCAGACAGTTCTTTTCTTAACAATAAATATTCGCGATAATTAAGTTTCTGACAAGTAATTCAAATATTTAAAATTCAAACCAATCATTTTATGTTTTCTAAGGACATTCATAAGCATATTATCTTTATTGCAGCAACATGCAATAGATAATCTACATATGGATTTTTACCATTTTCTGTAATGAAGTATGATTTTACCTAATGTGATCCTCTCCCTTGATTCCGGCGGAAGTAGAAATGTGAAGGGCACGAGCACCGCCAGTAGAACAGCCGGAAGTATGAAGACCTGCGTGTAGTACACGGAATTCCTCTGTAGAATAAATGAATATTCCATTAAGGGATAGATCTCGTTCCCAAAATCGTTTTTGTGGTCGATTCGCTTTGTTGTAGTGGTCACAATTCTCCATTCTTTACTTGGCTTAGCGTCACGTATATCCAGACCGTTTTCCTCTGATGTAAAATGTGTGATATTGACATGTGTGACGTCATATGTCCAAGATCCGAACTGTATCCGACATGTCTGTCTGTCCATTGGGAATTTTGTCATATCCATGGGACACTTTGCCCTGAGACGCACTTTTGGGATATATATAACAGTTCCTGTATGGAAAACTACAACCAAAGGATCGAATGTCTCCACGTCTGTATCGGCACTGAAAAGTCAATATATATATATATTAAATTACTTTGTAATAATTTGAACAGTGAAAGGATATATATTGAAGTTAAATAGATAGATGGAAAAATACTTGCATGTTAAATGAAAAAAACATCAACTTATTACTTTTTTCCTCATGTGACAAGTATGCCTCATTGCATTACTGAAACCAGAAATTACGTACTTGTTTAGAAGAACAACATCCGGTTTCCAAACGCTCGCTGATGGAATATGTATTGTAGCTATCCCTCCGTATTTTGAAGGCTCCCATCGGAAACGCATGTCTTCCCACATTTCTCGCAATAGGGCGCCTGTCTCAAACACTTCATCCTTCTCGTGCTGTAATGAATAAAATATCATTGTGTATTTCGGTGTCTAAAAATTCAAATACAGTATTCAAGCAATAACTGTTCTTTGTTACAAAAATAATTGAATAATAAATGGTTGTCTGGTGAACTCTGTAAGAGAACATGTCATTGTTGTTGATGTCATATATGAAGAACAGGCATCGAAAGCGTTTTGGTGACATATACAAACACGTCAGTGAAAGCAGCCGAAAGATGAGACCGGATTTTACCTTTTGATAATACTTAGGACCTCTCAACTGAAAAAAAAATCGACTGTTTAGAGCTAGATCTCTAAAATGATCATTCTCTTGCTTAGAAATCCCCCGATACCTGACGCTAAACTTTGATCATCCAACACGTACGTGAATGGACTTTTTCTAACAGTGAAGTTTTCTAGATAAATAGTAACAGGACAGTAGGTTGATCAGTATCGATATATACAACCATTTATATTCAGATGAAAGGCGTCTGTATTGCCTCCAAGGGTAATATTTATTTGGAGGTTTTGTATGTTAAAGATAACAGCTCCCAGTAGACGTCTCTCTATGTTCGTCTCTAAATCCTTATCGCCGGAGAGATATGGAGTCCGGTACGATCGTGGACTACATGGAGAACATTATGCAGGGTAGAGACATGTGCTCAAGACTCTGAATTATTCACCGTTTGGGACAAACTCGTGAAATTTATTGAAACAGCACCAACGAGACTCATTAAAACGTTTTCCAATTTGAATTTAGTAAGTCATTTCTTCCATAATACCGAATGGTGAATTCGTTTTTTCTATTGAGGATTTTTGGAGATCCGTGTAATTTGTCCTGGGTTTACCGTTAAATCTACTTTCCGTACATCTAAGTTCCCTTTACTGTTCGAGTTTAGTAGACAATAATATGCAGTCTGAAGAACTAAAAACTCCAAACAAATAAGCAGAATATTTGGACGTGCTATCATCACATAAACGTTTTCCTCGGCTGAGTTCGGAGGGTAAGTTAATCAAAGGTTAAATACACAGATCAGCTGATAATTGTGATCACTAACCATAAACAGCTTTTACAAGGTGGCACTCCGTGCATTCAGTAACCTTTATCTTTAAGGTAAATTAGTACATATACATGTTAAATGGACATTCTTTTCAACTGACTGAAATAATTCCGGAACAATATAAACTAGGATGAGTTGTGACTGATGTTCATCTTATTCTAATCCGTTTCATTTCTATGGGTATTGATTGGTATTACAAGGAAGGCAGAGCAGAATCTCCAGGTCAAAAGCCATGATCATTTATCTTGTACGGAACCATAGAAAGAAAGTATTGGAATGGTAAAGGTCACAACATAAAATGTTCTTATTGAAGGTGTTTATTTGGCAACATCTTGTTTTACATCTCAGAGATTATCTCATGCACACAACGGGTTGGTCTATCAGTGATGTCCTCGACAATAACACAACAGGTAATTAGGATCTACTGATAGGGAGAGCTCAAACATACGGTATAGTCGGAATGATACAAGATACTGAAAATTGAGACATTGTCAGACACTTCAGTAGTTCATACTGACACACAAATGAATAGTACCGATTAATAAAAATTTAGGGTTAGACAGAGTAGAGCCTAACAATGAATTGAACTACATCCTACAGCTGTTTAGTCCTTCTAGAACTCGTCAGTGATGCTAAGGGCCTAAATTTCGAACAACAATGCTATGCTTGCACCTTAAGTCATTACCATTGTTGACATTAATATGGTGATTCCAACATATGATAAACAGTGTTCCTTTAAAGACTATTAATCACGTCGATCACCTGTCCCTTCTGACGTCATTATCGTAGCCATACCACGTTGACGACAAAACGTCAAAATGTCTGTTTTATCTCTAAATATCGCTATCTATGTAATAGATTGTACAGCTGACACGCAAGTGGGTAATACCTTTTATCACAATTATAGATAGATACAGTGGAGTCATATGATGAATTAAACTGCATCGAACAGCTGTTTCGTTATTCTAGGGCTCGAATCAGTGATGCTAATGGCATAAATTTTGAAACCCAGAAGGCAACTGAGGGAAATCTCAACTGATTACAAAAATGGGCAAATCTAGATAATCTTGATGGGGAGGTGCATTTGCCTCACAATTTTAAAAATTGATTCCATATGTCTGATAATTCCTAAAGAATATCAAGTACATGTGTGCATTATGAACCGCGCCACTATTCGAATGCGAATGAATCAGAACGTGGCATGCAGACATGAAGGTTATGGCCGACCTCGGGGACTAAAAGCCCACTGGTATATCTTTTTCTGGTTTCAGACAAATTAGATATGCATAAGATAGCAAAATGAGTTTGAAATGTGAATATCAACATGCACTGAGGTAACTTGCATTGGTAATAGAGCCGATATAAATCATGCTGTTGCCTATAGGATATTTGTATGCAAAGTCATCTAATATCGAGTATATCAGGACAGTGCTTATACACAAAACTTTGTACAATACATGATTGTACGTGATCGCAGTGATATCACATTCACACAGAAGACTGGACTGATTGAGAAACGGAGAAGCCAACAGACAGTCTTCAACATCTTCAACAGAGTACATTATGACAGTGAAACAATGCTATAGTCATTTCATCATACGTTTGTAAGCCACGCTAACTTCTCTAACGTGTTCATTTTTTCTAACGACTCTCGTGTGGATCCTGGTTACATAAGATCTTCAACGCCGACTGTGTTCTGTATCATCACAATTGCGTGTTTGTGTGATAAGTGCACAGGTTCTATTTCAGAAAAACTTGTAACGTTGAGAATTGAAGTGGAGTAGCTTTTTTGTAAAATAGGCATTGAAAAACAAAAGTATGTACGAGACACAAAGTGATACAGCCACATTTCAAATAGGTACTTACCCTCACAAATCACATTTCCGAGCTCCATGGAATATTTTTGTCCAAGTTGATCAGATTATGATAAGAATATGGAACTATCCTATTTCGTTCAAAAATCTAAACAACACTATGAACGCAGGAATTATTGTAAGCATCGATTTTAAAATCGAGGGAAACAATATTTTCTTCTGTCTCTCATAAATTACAATTCGTATTATCAGTTTTTTAAGTAAGTTTTATTTGCTTGTCAGATACAGCAATTTAAACTCCAATACAAACAGAGCTTCACATTTCAATTTAGGGAAACATTTATGAAAACGTAATTTAAAGGTTTACTTGCAATTATTATCAAGACTTTGTATTCACATCTGTTCCGATATCTGTTGAACCCATGGGAGTGACAAAACGTCTTGCGAGACTAGTTCCGCCTTGTTGCATGACAACAGAATGAGAACAGCAGGCGAGAAATGTAATTATTGTGTTCTGTTAAGGGAAAGGGAGGCTGTTGTTCAGCCTACACGTCATATCGTTCCTGTCAGGATAAAAAGATACTAAAACAAGACAATTTTCATTTCACTCCATAGATAGGATTCTATAATAACCTGCTGTATCGTTGGAGGGAAAACTGCTGACACGAAAGAGGGTTCTTGGGGTCTGAAAATATACCACACACACAAGAAGGGTTATCGGGGCCAGCAGTATACTACACACGTAAGAGGGGTTTCGGCGTGATGGGAGTATATATGTACATCGAATGCATGGAAAGTTTCTCGAAAGTTATACAACAAATATGAGAAAGGTTCTCAGAGCGCTTGGAAGTAGAACAAATCCAAGGAGGGTTGTCGGGTTACTGAAAATATACAACATATGCACGTGTAAGAAGTGTTCGGATGGTTCTGAAAACAACGCACGTACGGACAACTATATCACGCAGATGAAGAATACGGCTTCATTATTAACAGCAGGGACTTGTCATAAGTTGCTAACGACAAAAAGACTAATTGTAAAATGCGGAATGTGAGATATAGTGAAAAAACACACTCAATTTACAAAGATATCTGTTGGCAAACAGTATGTACTTCTGAGCTGTTTCATCCATTGTGGGTATGTTTTGTTAACATATACGAAATCAGCTATCCCGATCTGTACTGAAGATTTCCCATCAAAGATTAAATAATCCAACGGAAGCACTACGATACAAACACCAATAATTACTGTCACTTCACGCAATGGATCTCGTAATCTACGAGATTACGTGATAACTGACACAAGTTACAACAGAGTCGATATATAACGATTAAGTAACAGTGTACTTTTATCCCGAAAGCATACGAAATTAAGAGAGATTCTAATACACATCTGAAAATATGTTGGATTTATTACAGTATGGAGAATTTTGCCAGAATACACGTACACATGTCCTTAAGACAATGCTGGTGTGATATATGAGGCCTTAACTTAATAGTGATGTACAGTTACAGAAAATGTATGCGGTATATTTTTCAGGGTTTTTTATCCTGTCATCGTGGCGCAAACATTAATCGAAGTTTGCATAGGTCAATTTGAAGTAACTTCAAATGTCACGATGTTGTTTTCAAAGAAAAAACAGCAGCAAAATAAGAAAAAAGTTAAGGCGTGTTTTATCAGCCTTCAGAGTCTAAACATCGTTATTGTGCCATCCTTCAAGGACAAATTCAGCACAATATTATCATATCGACATATCCCCGTCTTTACATGCCGAATGAGCTTAAACTGAGCCTTTGTATTTTTTTTTCTATAATCTATGGTTTGCCGGAGATATGACACGTTTGATGTATTTTATCAACACTACAAAAGGTCCCAAGGTGATAGATGAAAGTATTAACTAAACCCATTTACATTGTGATTTTAGTCAAAAGTCCTGATACTGAAGGATAATTACATATCGTAGTACGCGTTTGTCACAAGGTGTCGCTTCCCTCTTACTGCCAATATCTGATCTCTTTATGATAAGCACTTTACGGCTTTCCTCATCAGGGCTGCGTGTCTTCACCCATATACTATGTTTCAAAATTACATTATGTAAGGAAGAATGTCTCTTTACGGTAACATACAAATAATTCATAATTA